CAAGCTGCTGAAATGGGCTTTCTTAGACGAGTCGCTGGCCTTACGCGTCTCGACATGGTCCGGAACAGTGTTATCCGGAAGAGCCTTGGATTACAGCCTTTGCTTCTCCCGAGACTGAAGACACAGCTGTAATGGTTTTGCCATGTGTTGCGAATGCCTCCAGAAAGAAAGGCCAAGCAACTGTTCCTTGCAAATCCGACTGGCAAAAGGCCCAGGGGACGGCCAATATTAACCTGGTGCAAACGTACGGAAAGAGTCTGTTCGAGACTCCATTTGTCTTTTGCCGAAGCTCGGACTCTGGCCCAGGATCGGGAACGTTGGAAGCACTGTCTGACGCGTCTGCCTCCGCGACCTGAAGGGAGAAGCGGCGATGAAAGATGAAGATGAAAAAGATATATACAAACTCTCGTAGCAAGGAGTTCAGATCAACTTCTTTCATTATTAATGCGCCGGAGTATGTTAGCTGCTTCAAAACTTCATCACCACCGCACTTAACAGTGACCCAAATGCTCATAGTTGCCTATGGACTGCGGAATGGTGCATTTAAGCAGGCGATGGCTCCAGGATATTTGAGCACCTGCATGTTCGATGCATCTGGAATCATCCTGTTCGATAGAGCAAATTTCATGTCCATCATGACCACTGTTTCAAATGCTATAACCTCTATGAAATATAGGTTCTCAGCCTTGTAAATGATTGATTATGATTCTCCTTTGCTAGCTGCGTTTACACTCAAGTGTTCAGTGCAGATACCATGAAACCTCTTCATCTTCATCTTCCATCACCGCTTCTCCTTTCTGGTCGCGAAGGCAGACGTGTCAGACAGCTTTCAACGATCCCGATCCTCTGTCAGAATCTGAGCTTCGACAGAAGACAACTGGAGTCTGAAACAAACTTCTTCCATATATTTGCACCTGGTCAATCTTGGCCGCCCCCTGGGCCTTCTGCCGGTCGGATTTGGAAGGAACAGTTGCTTAGCCTTCCTTTCTTGAGACACTCGCAACACATGCCCAAGCCATCGCAGCTGCGATTTCTCGATCTGGAGAAGCAAAGACTGTATTCCAAGGTTCTTCCGGATGTAACTTTTCCGGACCATGTCGAAACGCGTAAAGCCAGCGACTCATTACTAAACGTTTGCGTCCCTTAATGGCCCCCAACGAAACTATGAGCAAATCGATGCAATATCCAGTGAAAACTTGTCTTGGAGCAGTTATGCGCTCATGACGTATTCAGGCGTTTGAACCTATATTTAAAGTACGACCGAAAACAACCACAACCTAAAGGTGATCAAGGCAGTGCGTAGGCAGCAAGGACTTTTGTGTTTACGCGTATTCTTCTTCTATTGTCCTGCCGTTAACCATGTCGTGGATGACAGGAAATATTTCACAGTGTTTAACATATTACATACAACCATAATCTGGACTTGTATTAAGTTTATCATAAGTTAGAAATAAAGTGACTTAAATATTATGTTAGGATGAATTGTATAGAAGAATCCTGTTTAATTAGTTGCTTATAATGTTAGATAAAATTTTACACCGTCGTATTTCAAGGTCCGGTATTTTACTAAAGCCAAATCGGCTTACTTCAGAAAATTCGCCTGTACCATATCCCAGCAAAATTTAGACAAATTTATATGCAAGATCGTTGAGGATTGGTTACCTTATGCTGTGACAAAGTCATGCTGTACAGCGTCGCAACATAAACATTGTTTATCTAGAAAGTTTTCACCATTCGCACGTCCCCCATTTCAGACGGTGAGTTCGAAGCACAAGCCGGACAATCGCCTCATTTTAATATTTCTCTCAGCGAAATATGCCGAGCAATATGAAAAGGTGTGAAAGTTTTACAGTTAGACTCACCGGAAAATTCTGTTCCCATTGCTTAAACTTCTATCCAGAACTCCTGGAAAGGGGGGGGGGGAATCTTTCCTTTAAAGTCGAAGAATCATTATTCATTACAACATATCGCTGATAAACTGATAGTAATCATTTCTCAAGAGCACGTAGGTTTGCTCAGGCTCTGCCCCTGAAGTCATTATTTGTTCAGTGCGGACGACGCTTGCAGGTTACTATCAGATATTTGAGCGGCGAAAAGAAACTTGACTGTCTGAGAATATTTTCTAGTCAGCCAAGGATAGCTTCCGGACGCAGAAACAGTGATGCTTTGTCAACGCAAAATGACAAAGGAATCCAACATACCAAACAAAGCAGCAATGAAATAAATCCATTGTAAAAATATTTTAAATAATTTGTCGCTATGGAGATGATGTTGGAAAGCGTGGTATGTTTCGGTTGAACTCAAAAACTCAGCCCTCTCAGCGAAAACGTTTGCCTGAAAAAAGTTGACCGGTCCATTCGAAATCTGGTCCCGTTTTCTGAGACCGTTCGCTGTGAATTGAATTTGAAAAGGCACGCTAGGTGCTGAAAGTTGGAGTAAAACAGAAGAGGGGTACAAAGTCAAAAATGGAAGAAGAAAGGCCAAAAGAGAACATGAGATTCCAAAGAACCTGTAGAACAAGATCCCAATGAGGTAAAATGCAAAAGCCTTATTTCATAACTGATAAATCACGCACCGCACGCTTTGATGATGGCGGAGTTGCGTAACATGAGAAATGCGTATTTTTTATCCATGCCGCCGCCAAACCTATTCAAATTTATAACGGTGTACGTCACTGTTATAAACCAGATTTTAGTATTTTTTTAGTAATCGATGCTAATCGACTTTTGCCTTAAGGAGGTCATAAACTCCTTAACTCCGTATTAAGCAATATAAATTATGCAAAATACGACATAACGCCGCAAGAAAAGTTTTAATTCATTTTATGAGGGAGAGCTGTCAAAAGGGTGCGACAACGTTTCATGTTTCTGACAGGGTCTCTTCCCTCATCAATGAGCAAGTTCAATGAACTTATGTCATTCATGAAGATTAGTAAGAATATCCCTTTATGCGCCGTTCCTATTCAAGTGTCATAGTTCCACGAAGATGTCGCCGATGCCGTTGTCATCTTCCCAAAATACCACTTAACGACGAAACTATGAAATTAAGCATAGAGGAGGTGGAGTGGCGACTGTGATCTGCTTTACCGTAATTACTGTTATTGTTTTTCTGAACTACTCCAACACGTCCAGTACCTGAGTAGTATTTAATGTTAAATATGCCTGAAAGCTGACAGGTGCAAATCATGAAAACTTGCACATATTCGCAAATAGCTGCTGATTCTTTATGTGCTAAGAAAGCCACATAAGCTGAACTGTAAACATATACTAAATTTTAGATGATTAAATAATCTATTGCAGGTGTCTACGTACTGTTGAAACTCTTTTATCAGGTTATCGTATTTCGTGTGAATGTTTCAGCTGTTGAATGCTCCATTTATTCATGCATGAAAGCTAATTTCTGTTCATAAAGTCCAGGTTTGCCCCGCCTTTTTGGAACTTCAGTCCACGTGTTCTGGTAACCCTTACTTTCTATGCGGTTTATATATTCAGTCTGTCATCAGAAGCTTACCATATTGAATATTGCGCAGACTTATGTTCTCTAAAAAAGTACTTCTGAGGCAATGATATCTTTGCAGCAGGTGGCATAAGGGAAATCCCGTTGAAACTTCTATAACCAAACTCCGGGGACAGGATGGGGAATATTGGAGACACTGCCGGATGCTACTGGCTGCATGACTGAATGGGATAAGCGGATAAACGGCCATCGAGACCGACTGACTAACTAACTGATTGGTTGACTAAATGATCGACAGATTGTCGAACCATGTTTGGATACTTTGTTAATCTTCTTCATGACGCGTACCAACGGGCATGCGACATATTGCGGAGAGGAACTGCACACGTGAGCAAAACCAATGACTATCGATGGAACGGCTTATTTTGTCATTCTTTGCGCAAATGATTGTAATGACAAAGAGGAGGACATAATAGAGGAGGCGAAGGGGGATGAAAAGGAGGTGTAGAATGACGGTGGTGATGGTTTGCTCGTTTATCTTCAAATGGTTATTCGTTTCAGCCCGTCAAAGCCATTTGAATCTGGCGCTAAGCATTGAGCAAAATACCACGGCTACACCGCGAATCGATAACGCGTGAACAGTCGTTGAACCACAACCGTAAAATGGAATCTTTGTACAGCACGGCAAAGGAATTCTACAACATCTGTGATCAAGAGGGCAAGGGTTATGTCGTGAAATCGGATATGACCAGATTGCATACAGAATTGGACCCTCTAACCGACGAACAGTTGCAAGACATCTTCGAAATTTTGGATTTGGATAACAACAAATATCTGACGGTCGACGAGTTCATCGACGGCTTTGGTAAGTGTGTGCGCAGTGTGAACAGTGATTAATGCAGCAAGCAAATATTGCATATTCTTTTTGTATTCAGAATTAGTATTCAATGGTCAGTGTTCAGCATCCTTCTTGTTGTTTGGATTGTCCTATCTTGAACCTTGATGCCACTGTTTTTCCATATAGAAGCTAACGCCTCAAAAAAGACTTTCTCACACACCCAAACGCACATTCGTATTACTCAGCCCTCACAACTTTCACAACATTCATAAGAATCAGTCTGCTGCCTTAAGATTTAATGCAATGAACCTCATTGTAATAGGATTTTACAGTTATTTAACCTAGAATCTGCAGCTAATGTTACATTTTCAGTGCAATATCTAACCGACGTACGCTCAACGGAATCAAGCCGTTCATCTCCTGATGAATCTGAGGAATATGTTGAAAGTTCACCCCCTGCCCTCAACAGTGACGACGTCAAATTACCTCTGGAACCAAGTCAAAACTCAAATGTTCCGAGGTAAGTGGCAGAAAACTGAAAACATGGTTTTTACGATCAGCGCGATGCATGAAATGAAAGTAACCGGCCAAACGTGTCTCGAAACCGGCGCGAAAGAATTGCTTATGTCATGACTGAATTTCCTACCTCAAGACAGTCAGGAGAATCATGGCGCACTGTAGTCGTGGACGATCGTGCGCACTGAGCAGCGTGGCCATTAATGTTGATAAAGTGCATCTCGAAATCGAATCGAACTTGTAATTAGCCCGAATCTAAGTTTTGTAGGCCATATATTGCTTTGGTGCAGTACTGTGTCATATATTTGCAGATCATTGATTTATAACATCTGTCTTATCTATCACACAGGAGCCCAGGGGAGTGAATTATTTTGAACACTTCCGGTTAAGCAAACTGGGAACGCAGTACTCTCAAGTGTTTATTTGGTATCGACGCAACGGAGACCGTCTGGTGACAAAAGTAAGGACATGTACGCCAAGGTGGAACTAGAGCGCTTTCTTTATCCCTGACAATCAATGTTTAGGAGAAATGACCCCCCCCCCCACCAACAAAGAGACGATATTCGTAATTTGACGGATTCACTTGAGCGCGTTTTCCCTTTTTGTTTAAAGCAAATCAACATATGAGAGTAACACTCCAAGTCAAAACCCATATTGAAGGATTACATTCCAACCGCTGTCAGTCAGCTTCGATGACCGCTGATCCGTTCTGGTCACAGAGGTATGTGCAGCAGGAAGTGTCTCCAACATTCTTCATTCTTTACAGACTTTGCGCCTCAGCAAAAAATACTTGAGTCTGGAGCAGTATCTGTAGAAACACTTGCCCCAGGTCATTCTTCGCCATCCCAGGGGTCCTCGATTAGTCCTTTAAGCAAGTAGTAGCTGTTTCTCTTTCCTTTCTTGAAGCATTCGCTAAACATGCCAAACTCATTGCAGCTGCGTCTTCTGAATTTCTTTCTGGATTGAGATATCATCTATCTTGTTAATCTTAAAATATTGTATGACAAAAGTATTTTATTGTTTAGTTTGCTATCCGAATCTGGAATGAAATGCAGATGTTAACAAGAACGAAAGAGGGTCCAGATCACGCTGGTTTAGTGACATTAAAGAATGAGCCAAAAGGATGTCGTAATCTTGAACAAATCGGCATATATACAAAGTCTAAGATAATTCTTAGTGCTGAATCGCGTAAAAGGCTCAGAAAGATAGCAGGTTATCACAAATCTGAATAAGCGTCTGCATTCGTTACGGAAGAAGCTTGGCAATCTCATGTCAATTCCAAGTCGACCCACCCAGAGGCCAAGCCTCTATGGACGGCCAAAGATTCGCAAGGAAGATATTCCTTTGCAGCCAACTGTAAACTCTATTGGATGCTCCACTTACAACTTGAAAAAGTACTGACTAGCGTCTTAACCGGTCTTGTCGGAATCTCAGACATTTTCGCTTCTAGACAAAGCTAAACGACATAAAGATTGACCATGACGAAATCATGGTTCACTTCCATGTCACTCTTCCCCAGCATATATATTAAAGAAGAAGAACAGTGCGTGGAAGCAAAGCTCACTACGAATGCCGGCTGGGGTAATCACAGGAAAATGAATCAGCAAAGACATTTTGTTGCCTAAGATTTTCTATGCAAAGCACCTGGTTCACTTTATAATCAGGACCATACATACAGCTAGAAGATGCACCTATGGGTTTCCAGTTGTCTCTTATCGTCACAAGTACTTTGTACAGAAGTTAGGGAGGGAGTCTCTCAACAACTTTTGCGTACCATCAAAAGTATGGTGGAAAAACGTTGACGATACATCTGGGATCATGATATGCCAGTTTTAAATATCATGAATCTATCGATCCAGTTGACGATGAAAGTAAAAAAGGACAGTTCGATGTGGCTTTTAGATTGCAAAGTAAACAGAGAAAACGATGGATCACTAAAAATCGGAGTCTCTCGCAAGCCCACACATATGGAACACTATCTGCAGTTCAGCTGTAGTTATCAGACACGCACAATGGCAGGCATGGTCAGAAGTGTATTAGACAGAGCCGGGCAAATGACATCTGTCCCGAGAGAACTTCTGTATGAAATCCACCAAGTGAAAGAAGCTCTACACACAAATGGATATCCGCAACAGTTCAACAAAAAAGCAATAAAGAACCGGAACGTCATCGCTTGTCAACCGGGAACACGAAAATTCAACCAGACATAAGCCATCTGCACTGGAAAAGGTGAACCTAGGACCGTCTTCAAATCAAATGATTAAGAGCTCGCTTGACGAAGATTAAGGGCAAAATAACGAACGAATTAAAGACCAATGTATTCTACTGAAACTTTTTTAGATTTCCAGTCAAACTATCATACAACTCTGTACTAGAATGGTAGAGCATAAGAAAGTAGGACTATCATTATTTCAACCACCGAAGAAAAGTGAAGTTTGGAAAATCCCTCAGCAGCATCCCTCCACCAACTGCATAACTAGTTAGCCCAACCATAATATCAGAGGTTAAGAGTTAAAAAGAGCGCTTAGTTACCGAAGTACTTTTAATCCAGATAAGCCCTAGCGGCATGAACAGAGATGTAGAAAATTGCATCTCTCCTTCATTGCTTAACTTATGTACACTCCAGAGATCAAAGCGTCAATTGCAAATGCATCCTAATTTTCTCGTGCTACCGTACCTGCAAACATTTTCGTATGAATTGTTTTTAGTTGAGATAGACTGGTAAAATCAGCCGGAACTTTAATCCTGCACCAAAAACGTTTTTCCCGCGTGTACTTTTGAATGAAATAGTGTCTTACTCATAAGGCAAGCATCATCATTTGCAAAATTGAAACCAGAGAAAGCTTGATCAAGGATATTATCTTTATTGAAGTAACGTAAATAAAATTTGATCTAATAAAATTTACGGATCTACGAATTAAAGCACACAGCAAGTCTCGTTTCTTTAATCGTATAATTTAGGTGGTCTCTGACATTATCAGCCATATGTCGTACTTTTAGCACTTAAAAGAGATTCTGCTTTCTAAAGAAGCTTTGGAGTGAAGCAAGCCAAAGTTGTCAAAAATTTATGGTGGTTCGTTGCTAATCATCTCGTATATCATAGACGGCAATGTATATTGTAAGACAGAATTTTAGTGCAAAAGTTCAATGTTTGTATGGAAGACAGGGTAACAGATATCTTTACTGTGCAAATATGTCTTGATAACTTAATTCCATGTAGCGAATGAATCTCATGAATACTTATTACGCATTTGGTGCATATTTAGCAATAACTATTTGCATTCACTCTCCAACAAATGCTCATTCTATAAGATTTGAAGTAAACGGTACTCTTAATATCTGCCTAAAAGCCCTTTCTCGTGTGTTCTGCTTGTGACGACGTTTCATTTACTTGCATCCTTTCTTCATAATTAGCGGTAGCAGGTTTTTCTGTGCTTATATTTTTGCCTCTGCATATACGTAAAATTTTTCCTGTGTTACTATGATAATTTTTCTGCCACGCGTAATTACATTCATGTTTTACCGCCTCCCGGGTTGGAATGGAAAGTACCGTAAACGAATACATTTGCTGATGGTCAAGGAAACTATCCAGAAAAGTTTAACAATATTCTGCTGTACCGATAACCTCTGAAACATGAATAAGTCTACCTTCAGTTCATATTATTCAACAAGCGATACATTCTGTTGAGAAGTAGATAGAAGTGCTTACCAGCTGATAGAATACGAAATGAATCTTAGTCCAATTTGCTCACTTTTTTAAGACTAATTGACATAACTCTGACGTTGCCGGTCATAAGCCCTAATAAGAAAGAAGGAGGGTTTAGACCGAGGAGAGATCTCGTTTAAAAATTAGGCACATACCCTTCATCTTATTGCCGACATTCAAACGCAACGCCATCTTCGGCGTCTTCCAGGAAACAGAGGGTCGCGCAAGCTGTTGGGGATCTGAGGCAGACCGCGAAAGTCGGCAATCCGAACCTGCTACCCACAGTATGACAGCTGTGAGCGCAGCAGCACGGCAATAACTGCCGAAGATTGACAAAAAGAGACAAAAATACCATTCTGTCAAAAACAGAGTAGCTACTCGTCCTGAATGAAAGAAGTAGATAGCAGGATACCATCATAGCGCGTCATATAAGGTTCCACAAGTCACTGTTCAGATCCTGACAGTGGCAGCTCATATTTGAAAATTGCAGCATCTCTCTACTCAGAAAAAGAGGTATGAAGAAGTTGATGAGGTTCTGTATGGTTGGACTTTCGTCAACGAAACACTAGGGCTCTGAAATTTTGAATCTTTGCAGATAGAAGCTATTCTATTCCGGTGTTGTTGCTCTGGTAGACCCGGAATGACCATCATCCGGTTAGAGCACTAACCTTGCTATAGGTCCCCCCTGCACCTAATTCGAAGGGTGAATATGAGTTCTTTCCGGAGGAAATAAAAGATGCTCTGTACGAAGTGCTGACTAAGGAATCAACTATTCTAACGGGCGATTTCAATGCGCATGCAAGAGCAGACGCTGAAAATTGTAAAGGCATAATTAGA